GATCCTCAAAACTCGTAGATTATGATATTGGAATAGGGACAAGGAGGAGTCCTATACACTCATTGGTATATGGGTGGGTTGGGGTTTTTAGTCAAGAATATTGACTATTACTATTTTTCCCAAATAAAATGGTGATCTACGGATCGGATATTTTCCAAGTATATATTTATACTAATAAATATTTCATAACTTGGGGGAAAGACTATCTATTTAAGTATCACCCTATGTTTGGGTCTTATACTTGAAACGTTAGTTATTCTATATTTAGCCTGCTACTCGCTCGGTACTTGTACTGACCCCTTCGGGGGGCCCCACCATTTTCAGGTTGAAGCTAGGGCTTGCTACTTGCACCTTCTCACGGGTGGTATCAAATCAGGAAGACGTGGTTCGTGCTTCCTTATTTTCTTTCAAACTACCGAACACTTGCTCATGGATATTTGTTCTACTATAAACTATTTTTGGGGCTTGCATGCCCATGTTGTTGGCCGGTTGTGGCTTATGACTTACCGTTGAATATTTCCGCTATTCAATGGTTTAAATGTGAAGTTGTTATGTATGTTTACTACTGAGCATGGATGGATTGTTTTCTCAAACGCCTTGTGTAATTAAGTGAGGTTGACTCGCGGGTGACGTCACTTAATTATACGGCGGTTGTACACGCGCTTGGATTGCGGTCTGGGGCGTGACAATTAAGTGGTATCAGAGCCATCTCAGTTCTAAACATTATAATCAACCTCTCACAAAGGATTTTACAAAAGAGTTTTTACCGAAAACCATGAGCATTGTATTTTGACGTTCATAGGACTATTGGTGCTTAAGTTGCAAGGCCTCTAATTGTTAAGACGGTACCCTTAACAATTGGTATGGTAGTGACTTGGGCCAATATGTGTCTGTAACGTTCTTCCGTCAGTTGACATTTATAGGAGTCTAATGACTCATCCATATTTCTTTCAGAAAGGGAGGGCAGGCGAATGAGGACCAGGAACAATCCGAGGGGGCAGGCGCCGGTAGCATCCCAAAGGGGAAGCCGGGCTGCATCTCGGGGTTCGAGAGGAGGCCGTGGAGGCCGTGGAAGCCGTGGAGGTCATCAAGCTCAAACTGTGAGTGATAGCCATGTAAGCTCGGTGTATGAAACCAACACCGAGGACTATGACTCAACCTATGTTCCTGAAACGGAGCATGAGGAGACCCCATATGATGGGGGTGACACATACACCGATGATGATGATGAAGAGAGTGATGCCAAGTTCGCCCAAATGGGCGAATTGCTTGAGTGGTATCAAAAAGAAAAACTGAGGAGAGACCTTAGGCGCCAAGCAAGGCGTGGCTCTCGCGGTGGTTCGCGTCAAGGAAGCCGGGGAGCTTCAAGAGCCACTCCCGTGGCGCCACATGATGGGCGTGAAGGAGGCTTTTGTGTGAGAATCTCCAAGTACCTCAAGGAGGCTAGGGCCTTGGGGTGTAAGTCCTTTGACGGCACCGGTGACATTACCGTTGCCGCCGATTGGATAAAGAAGGTGAAGGATGCGGCAAAGGACATGCAAATTTCACCGGACGTGAAGTTGACTGTTGCTTCACGGCTGCTTGAGGGGATAGCTTCCACGTGGTGGGAGAGTGTGGAAGGAAAATACCATGGGGAGGTCTCATGGTTGAACTTTGAGCAGGAGTTTTATGACCAATACTACACTGACTATGAGAAAAATGTCAAGCGTAGGGAGTACACCAACCTCAAACAGAAGGAGGGTGTGTCTGTTAAACAACTGGAGCAAGATTTTAGAACCTTGGCTAGGTTCTTGCCGGAGTACGCGATCAATGAGGACCGCATGTCGGAGCACTTTTGGGATGCCTTACTCTTGGACATCCGTGATCGGGCTACGTACTCGCGCCACATGACCTTTAGCGAGGTAGTGGAGCAGGGCCTTCTTGGGGAGGCTCAATGGAATGAGAGGAAAGAAAGAGACGCCGAGGAGGCGAAAAAGAGAAAATGGCATAATTCGGGGCCGCCCGAGCAAGCACGGAAGAATCACCACGGTGGGGGTGGTAGTACGTTCAAGACGCCGGCACCACCGGCGAAGAAGAACAAGGATGCTCGGTGGCACGCATCCTCCTCTCAAAATACGGGGCCTCCTAAGTGTGCCAACTGCTCAAAGAATCACTTCGGGAAGTGCAACGCACCCCCGAGGTGTTATCGGTGTGGGAACACGGGCCACATGAAGGCCAATTGCCCACAATTGGGGGGAGGAGGAGCTCCGGGATCCGGAGGAGGAACCATGACGGGGAGAAACCGTGCGGGCCCGTCAAACGGCGGTACGGGAAGAGGCGGCGCGTCCACAAGTCATGCCGCGTCCGTAAATCAAGGCGGGACCCAAGCACGAGTGTACGCAATGACCGAGGCTGATGCACGAGCAAACCCGGACTCCGTTGCAGGTAATACACTTATTTTCCTATATTTCTAGGCTTATTTGGGTCATACGAGTCATTGGGTTTGGGTGCGGGCCACCCCGGGGTCAAACCCCGCGAATTCGGGGCGAAACGGGCTAAAAACAACTACGCGCGATCGCGCGTACCTACAGACGCACGACCGTGCGTGCGAGGCAGCAGCCTCTGGCCAATTTCCGCGCAGACGCACGCCGTGCGTGCAGGTAAGGCACGCCGTGCGTGGACGCACGATCGTGCGTGACCAGCTACGCACGATCGTGCGTAGCCGGCAGTGGCGGATTCCGGATTTTTCAAGCACGCACGACCGTGCGTGCCACCCACGCACGCCGTGCGTGGACCCCCAACACCCGAAACTTGATTTTTTCGCCCCGTTCTTCTACGTTTGGACCCCCGTTTGATTCCAAACATTAGTATGAGCCTAATAACCTCCTAAAGATGTGTTAAAACATTAGAAAATGTATCTTACATGTGTATAAATGTAGGAACATTAAAGATCAATGGTAGGTGTGCGAGGATCCTCATTGATACCGGGGCACAACGCTCATTTGTGAGTGAGGCGTTCGCCGAGGGCCTTGACGTGCCATTGACACCTATGACTCAAACGTTGCTAGTCTCCACACCGTTAGGAGACGACGTGGAGAGAAATCATTACTATCCGTCGTGTGAGGTAGAAGTGACGGGTCAACCTTTGACTTGTGATTTCGTACCTCTAAGCATGTTGGAGTTCGATGCAATCCTAGGAATGGATTGGCTCGAGAAACACCATGCCCGAGTAGATTGCTACACCAAAGTGTTGGAGCTCGAGGATGATCAAGGGAACACGCTATGCTTTGAGGGAGATCGGGGGAAATCTAATGCTTGTATCATATCCGTGATGAGAGCACGGAAGATGATGAGAAAGGGATGCCACGCGTACCTTGCCTACGTGGTGGACGATACCAAGAAGGAAGTCGACATCAAAGATGTACGGGTCGTGTGCAAGTACCCGGATGTCTTCCCCAAAGACCTACCGGGGCTTCCACCCGATAGAGAGATAGAGTTTGTAATTGAAGTGGAGCCGGGAACCAAACCCATTTCGATTCCTCCTTATCGAATGGCACCGGCCGAACTTCAAGAGTTGAAGGTCCAACTGCAAGAATTATTGGACAACGGATTCATCAGACCCAGCCATTCACCGTGGGGGGCACCCGTACTCTTCGTGAAGAAGAAGGATGGTACACTAAGAATGTGTATTGACTACCGACAATTGAACAAGGTCACAATCAAGAACAGGTATCCCTTACCGAGGATTGATGACTTGTTTGATCAACTTCGGGGGGCAATAGTGTTCTCGAAGATTGATTTGAGGTCGGGGTATCATCAGTTGAAGATCAAGGAGAGCGACATACCTAAGAGTGCATTCCGCACTAGGTATGGTCATTACGAGTTCCTTGTGATGTCGTTTGGTTTAACCAACGCACCGGCAGCATTCATGGACTTGATGAACCGGGTGTTTAGTGAATACTTAGATCAATTTGTGATAGTATTCATTGATGATATCTTGATATACTCCAAGAGTGAGGAGGAGCACGAGCATCATTTGGGGCTTATACTTGATCGGCTAAGGGAAAAGCAACTCTTTGCCAAGTTCTCTAAATGCGAATTTTGGCTCAAGGAGATTGGTTTTCTCGGTCACGTCATATCCGGTTCGGGCGTAGCTGTGGATAACGCCAAGATAAAAGCTATTATGGATTGGGAGAGACCCAAGAATGTGAAAGAGATACGTAGTTTCCTTGGCTTAGCGGGATACTATCGTAAATTTGTTGAAAAATTCTCCGTATTGGCGTCTCCATTAACGAAGCTCACAAAGAAAGGGGCCAAGTTCATATGGGACGACAAGTGTGAGAAAGGGTTCCTTGAACTGAAGAAACGACTTACCGAAGCACCAGTCCTCGCCCTACCCATACAGGGGATAGGGTATGATATATACAGCGATGCTAGCATCCAAGGGCTTGGATGTGTACTGATGCAAAACGGTAAGGTGATTGCCTATGCTTCTAGGCAATTGAGGAAACACGAGGTGAACTACCCTACCCACGACCTAGAATTGGGGGCGGTAGTGTTTGCACTAAAAATTTGGAGGCATTATCTCTACGGGGAGACATGTCACATTTATACCGATCATAAGAGCTTGAAGTATGTATTCACTCAAAAAGAGTTGAATATGAGACAAAGGAGATGGATGGAGTTGATCAAGGACTATGACTTGATCATCGACTACCATCCCGGAAAGGCCAACGTAGTGGCCGACGCACTGAGCAGGAAAAGTACGTCGGGGACGTTACTTACTTGTCTGCAGGCATTAAGGGCACGCGTGGAGGTGTCCACGTGTGGGGCTCTCATTGCTCAATTTGAGGTTAGGCCCACCCTATTGGGTGAGATTAGTCGAAGTCAGGCCATTGATGAGGAATGTCAGAAAATCCGTGAAAGAATCCTGGAAGGACCCGTTGAGAACTTCCGAATACGTGATGACGGTCTATTATTGTTTAAGGATCGTGTATGCATACCAAAGAATGAGGAACTCTAGAGGTCTATACTTGAGGAGGCTCATTCTTCAGCTTATGCTATGCATCCAGGAGGTACTAAGATGTACCGAGATTTGAAGGAAAGTTACTGGTGGTCAGGTATGAAGAGGGACATCGCAGAGTATGTGAGTCGATGCCTTACTTGCCAGCAAGTTAAGGCAGAACATCAGCACCCGGCAGGGCTTTTGCAGCCACTCACCATCCCAGAGTGGAAGTGGGAGCACGTGACCATGGACTTCGTGGTGGGGCTACCACGAACAGTGAACAACTATGATGCAGTTTGGGTAGTGGTTGATAGGCTCACCAAGAGTGCACACTTTTTGCCTATCAACATTACTTATCCTCTTGAAAGATTGGCCAAGCTCTACACGGAGGAAATTGTGAGATTACATGGAGTCCCGATATCCATTGTCTCGGATAGGGATCCACGATTCACATCCCGATTTTGGCCAAAGTTTCAGGCATCGCTGGGTACCAAACTGAAGTTTAGCACAGCTTTTCACCCACAGACGGATGGACAGTCCGAGCGGGTGATACAGATTTTGGAAGACATGCTTAGGGCATGTGCTTTGGAGTTCCAAGGAAGTTGGGACAAGCATTTGGCCCTAGTGGAGTTTGCTTATAACAACAGTTATCAAGCAAGTATCGGCATGCCTCCATATGAGGCATTGTATGGGAGGAAATGCAGAACACCGTTGTGTTGGGACGAGGTTGGCGAGGCCAAACTCGAAGGGATAGAGCTGGTTGAGATCACCAAGGCCAAGGTAAGGATCATTCGGGATAGATTGAAGGCTGCTCAGGACCGACAGAAGAGTTATGCTGATAAACGGCGGAGACCGTTGGAGTTCGAAGTCGGTGACGAGGTCTTCCTAAGGATTTCTCCTTGGAAGGGCATCATTCGATTTGTATCGAGGGGAAAGCTTAACCCCCGATACATTGGTCCATTTGAGATCCTTGAAAGGATTGGAGCCGTGGCTTATCGTCTCAAGTTAACGCCGGAACTTGAGAAGATACATGATGTGTTTCATGTATCAATGCTCAAGAAGTACATACGGGATCCCTCTCATATTCTTGAGAAACCGCCAGTAGAGATCCGTGGGGATTTGCAATATGCGGTGGAACCAGTGAAGATTGTTGGTCAACAAGTGAAGAAGCTTAGGAATAAGGAGATTCCTATGGTAAAGGTCCTTTGGAGGAGTGATCGAGTCGAAGAAGAAACTTGGGAGACCGAGGTCTCAATGAGGGAGCAATACCCATTTCTTTTCGATTAGATACTTGGATTTCGGGGACGAAATCCCAAATAAGGGGGGGTGAACTTGTAACACCGTCCCCAAATATATTTACTTTTATGTAAATAATGTATTGAACCTTATTAAAGGGTTAATGAATTTACGAAGTTGTAAATTTTTACTACTTCTTTCGCGTGAATAGTAAATTGCACGTGGGACCCACACCGAGTGTGGGGGCTGCCCGACATTCCCGAGACCATATATTTTATTCATCTTGGTCTAGATAATAAATATATATTGGTGGATATTTCATTTGGGCCATGGAAAGGCCCAGAGTTGACCGATCGGTCAAAAGAGGCCCAAATTACCGGTACTGGTAATTTAACGGATAACAGCCCGAACTGAATTTCGGAGGCTTATAAATTAAAGTTGGGGAATGTATATTCATTATACATGTCATAATGAGTAAGAGCACATAATATATTTTATTGGACCTGATAAAATAAAATATATTTAAAACAGTCCAAAAAATACAACTTTCGGGACCGATTGTACACTTCGGGACAAAAAGGGTTGACCTCCCACATGAGTGGGGGCCAACCCACGTTTTTGCCACTCAAATTGGAGGGGTTGGCCGGCTGGTAAGAGAAGAGAAGCATGGGAGGAGGCTTTGATATGATCTTTATGGCATCAAACAAAAATGAGGTGGCCCCCATCCACACTCATTTGTTCAATGAGACAAATGGGTAAGCCTCACCCCTCTCCCACCCTCATTTTCGGCCAAGAGAACCCAGGAAGAGCAAAGAACCACCCAACCTCCTTCCTCCATTGTTGAAGAGAGCTCATCAAAGAAGAATCACCCAAAAAAGAGCTAAAGTGCTAAAAGTGTGAAATAATTAAGGTAATGACCTTATTATAACTTTTTCTTTATTTTTCTTCTACCATATGAGATATATATCATGTGAAGAATCCTTAAGAGGGTTCTACATGTTATAAGTATGGATTAATGGGTTGGAAAGGGATTCTATGTCCAAGAACGGACTTAGAAGCCAAAACGACCGGTTCACCGGAAAATAACCGTTTTGAGGTTATTTGCATTAATATGGGTTTTATGATTATAAAACCTTGTTAGGAACTTGTGAAAGGTATTTCAAGTGATTTCACAAAGTTGGAAAAGTCGCCGGAGTTGTCGCCGGAGTTGACCGAAAGTCGCCGGAGTTTCACCGGAGTTCAACCAAGAAGGGTAGAACTTCATAACGCTAATTCAAGGTGAGTGGACGGCTTAATATCTTATAACTTTTGGGTTAATTATGAGATTACCTAAATAAATGTTATATGAGTTCATAATAATGTTTAAAAGGTATTTAAACATGTGATTAGCCAATAGGGTTAAGATTGTATGAAAGAAATAAATTGTTTGTGCATGGAATATGATATGAAGGATTTTATAAAATACATATTTGTTTGAAATGTATAAGATGCACAAATGAATATTATTAACTTAATTACATGATGGTTAAGTTGATAAGTATAAGACTTGTAATGGCGGCCAACGACAACGTTGACCGATGGATAATGAATTAATTAATATCGGTTGGTATTAGTTAATTATGTATTTATATAATTGCATGGCTTTGCATGGATTGTGATACATAAGCTTGATGTATTGGATTAGTTATGAGGAACTAAGTATGATATAGACTCTATCTAGGTTGATAGAAGGTTGATCATAGGCAAATATATTGGTGGAGGACCCTAGTACTTAAAAGTACTTAACACTCAAAATTTGGTGGAGGACCCTAGGACTTAAAGTCCTTAACACTCGGATTATAAATTGGTGGAGGACCCTAGTACTTAAAAGTACTTAACACTCAAACTTGGTGGAGGACCCTAGTACTTAAAAGTACTTAACACTCAAACTTGGTGGAGGACCCTAGTACTTAAAAGTACTTAACACTCAACTTGGTGGAGGACCCTAGTACTTAAAAGTACTTAACACTCAAACTTGGTGGAGGACCCTAGTACTTAAAAGTACTTAACACTCAAACTTGGTGGAGGACCCTAGTACTTAAAAGTACTTAACACTCAAACTTGGTGGAGGACCCTAGTACTTAAAAGTACTTAACACTCAAACTTGGTGGAGGACCCTAGGACTTATGAGTCCTTAACACTCACAAACCGGTGGAGTACCCCAGGGATTATGATCCTCAAAACTCGTAGATTATGATATTGGAATAGGGACAAGGAGGAGTCCTATACACTCATTGGTATATGGGTGGGTTGGGGTTTTTAGTCAAGAATATTGACTATTACTATTTTTCCCAAATAAAATGGTGATCTACGGATCGGATATTTTCCAAGTATATATTTATACTAATAAATATTTCATAACTTGGGGGAAAGACTATCTATTTAAGTATCACCCTATGTTTGGGTCTTATACTTGAAACGTTAGTTATTCTATATTTAGCCTGCTACTCGCTCGGTACTTGTACTGACCCCTTCGGGGGGCCCCACCATTTTCAGGTTGAAGCTAGGGCTTGCTACTTGCACCTTCTCACGGGTGGTATCAAATCAGGAAGACGTGGTTCGTGCTTCCTTATTTTCTTTCAAACTACCGAACACTTGCTCATGGATATTTGTTCTACTATAAACTATTTTTGGGGCTTGCATGCCCATGTTGTTGGCCGGTTGTGGCTTATGACTTACCGTTGAATATTTCCGCTATTCAATGGTTTAAATGTGAAGTTGTTATGTATGTTTACTACTGAGCATGGATGGATTGTTTTCTCAAACGCCTTGTGTAATTAAGTGAGGTTGACTCGCGGGTGACGTCACTTAATTATACGGCGGTTGTACACGCGCTTGGATTGCGGTCTGGGGCGTGACATTCAAAGTGACTCTGATAGCTCAAAATCTCCTATCAGAATGCAGAAGAAGAAGAAGAAGAAGAAGACCATCTCTCCCCCCAAGGAATCAGAACCTCAGGGGAAACCAGCATCAGAATTGGCTGGAGCACTAGTGATCTCTGACGCTCAGGGGGAACCTGAATCAGAGGTCCAACCTTTATCTGCACCAGACCTGCAAGTCACCATGTCCCCAACAGAACAGCTAAACCCTTCTACTGCTCTGGACAGACAGTTTCAAAGGGTACTCACATGGAGGAAGTGGAGGATGGGACCTCTGCAGCAAATACTTGCCCAAGCTGCAGCTTTTGAATCTGAGGAAGAAGAAGTCCTCAAATGGGCAGATACAGATGATGTTTCTCTCTGCTTTGATCTTCACTTCTTGCATTCTGTGTTGGAAAAGAAGAAGGAAATCCTCAAAGGGAAAGAGAGGATGACTGCTCCACCATCAGAAGAGCATGTCAAACCTCTATCAGAGAGTGAGATTCCAGCCTTTGAAGAATGGCTGGTGGAGATGAAAAGGAGGGAATCTCTGAGAAAGTATCCCTACCTTCCTCACTTTCACGGTGAATCTTCAATTGCCAACAATCTGCCACTGGCAATGTAGCAACTGATCAGAGAGTGGAGGAACTCTCAGATTGAGGAGACTTCTATTGAGGTAATCCCCACCCCCACTACTACCCTTATTCCTGATCAACTTCCATCACCTCCCAAATCCCCTTCACCTAAACCAATCACACCAACCACAACTCCACCTCCATCCCCTCAACTTCTTCCAAATTCACCAATAGCCACACCCAAGAAAACTCCATCTCCTAAGAAATCATCCTCACCTAAACAACCATCACCCTGCCATCAGATAACCCCCATCAGAAGCCGATCACCCTCACCTCCTCCTTCACCCCAACATCAGAATACCCCCGCTCTTCAAGCTCAACCTCATCAGAGCTCAGCCAATCAGAGATCCAAGTCTGCTCCTCATCAGAAATCCTCCAAACCTCTCTCTCCACAACATTCTGCAGCCTCCACTCAGAAAAGAGAGCCAGTTGTAAGGATTCTTTCCTCAACTGAAGACAATGATGGCTTTCTCACAGCTTTAATGGCTGGTGATCTTCAATCTGCCAAGAGAAAGACACCTACTCCTCCTCCATCTCCTGCTCAACAACCGCAGGTCAATCATATACCTCAGCCAGAACCTCCAAAAGCTGTCCTCATCCCCTTCCAGGAGTTTGTGGAATCAGCTGAAGACTTTGGAGATCAGATGATTGCAGGACTGAACAAGATGCTTGTACTGAATCAGAAGCATGATGCTCACCTTGATTTGGTACAGTACAACATTGAATCTGAACTCACCAAAATCTCAACCTCTCTTTCTACACTGGCAACAACATTCCTCAGTTACATGAAGACATCCAATGAGAAGGTTGATAACATAGCTTCAGAGGTTGCTAGTCTACACACAGTCTTGTTCTCACAATCTCAGACTCTGACAGCACAGGACAAGGCCATTCAAGAATTATCTGATGCTGTTGACACTCTACAATGGTCTCATGACAAAAATGCAGAGCATCTGACAGATGTGGAGGAAATCTGCAAGACCAACAAAGAGTTTAGTCTCAAATTGATCAACACTGGCAAGGACAGAGATCACAAGTTGACTCTCCTTGAGGCTACTACTAAGGATATCCAATCTGCAGTTGATAAGCAGAAAGAGCTGATAGAAGGGCTGGCCTCGGTGACTCAGACACTCCCAGGTGCCCTAGAAGCGATCAAAGACAATAATGCTACAGAGTTCTCCAAAATTGGACTCCTACTTGGCGACCTTGTTGATGCCAAAAAGGGGGAAGAAATCAGAGAACCTGCTAGGGCCATCAGAGCTGCAGAAGGAACTAGCACCAGAACTGCTGATCCTGCTGAGTATTTTGAAAGGGCAAGGCAAAAGAGGATTGCTGCTGGTATTCAGAGACCAACTCCTCCAAGATCAAAGAAAGGAAAGAAGACAGCCTCCACTTTCACTTTGGCCCAATGGCTCAACAGTGACTTGGCTAAACCTGATGCTGCTCAATTCAGAGAGATGAAGAAGCATATGACCCCTATTCAACAAGAGAATCTCATTCTGGATAAAGATGGGCTAATAATAATTAACCATGGTGGGTCAATGCAAGAAGCAGAAGACTGGTGGCGAATGAAAGTGATCCCTGGCAAGGACCTGTCTGAAGCCATCAGAAACTATCTAGATTGTCAGCTTGCACCTGCCTGGTCAGAATATCAGAATCCCAGGAACCTTGCTACAATCAGAGCAAGAATAAATGCTGATCTGAAGGGAATTGAGGCAAAGGAAGCTCAACTAGAAGAGGAAGATATCTAAACTCTATCCTCTTGTTACTTTAAATACTCTTCCTTAATAAGATAACCAGCTTGCCTCTATTTTGCATGGCAATTTCAAATATTTGCATTCTGATTATTTTATGCTCTGATATCTTGTGTTTTTTTTTTCTTATTTTGCTTATCTGATTGATTGTATCTTACTCTTACTATTTTCCTATGCCAAGTGCCCACCAAGATTCTAAATGAAAGTTTATTTTTAACTTATTTTCCTTCATGGTGGAAGGCACTTCTCTGGAAATAGTTTAAGGGTTTTGGCATCATCAAAAAGGGGGAAATTGTAAGGAATAAATGTAATTAGATTTTGATGATGCTATAGGATTAGAAAGTTAGAGTACCCCCAAATTAGATTTTATGTATTAGAATTTTCAATTGTAAGTATTAGTGTAGTCGACGATCAGAGTTGCTCTGCTTTGGATCAGATCTGAAGTGCATCAGAATTGCTCGACCAGACTTGCTGTATGAGAACTGCTCCATCAGAGTTCTCTTATCAGAAGTCCATCAGAGTTGCACCATGAGAGTTACTGATGAATTGGACATCTGATAACCGATGAGAGTTACATATCAGTGGTACTCATCAGCGGACCTATCAGAGTCAGAGTTAGAGTTCAGTCAGAGATCAGAAAGCCATCAGAACTCAGGAAACCATCAGAATCCAACACATCAGAAGAGCCTGATCAGAGCCCGACTAACACTTAGAAGATTTCAAGCAACATCCAACAGCTATGAATCCAACGGGTAAAAACATCCAACGGCTAGAAGACTGTGCATGAAAGGAAAGCATTTAATGCACATTAAATGAGCCTGATACGCTGAAGGATTGATTGCAAATGATTGACCAAGGAATCCGGAAAGAAATATTATAAAAATAGAAACCTTCCAAAACGGCGGTCAAGTCAACAGTACGCGCATTTAATGCAGTTGTCTCCTCCTCCAACGGGCAGACAACCTCAGTATATAAGCTACTCACCGAAGAACAGGAAAAGAACCTTTCGCAGAACCTTTGCTCCATTCATTGCTCTGAACATACTTCTTGAGATTCAAACTTCATAACACTCTACA